TATTCAGAATTCTATCAATGTATTCCACTATATAAACAAATTCAAAGAAAAACACCCACATGATCATATCACTAGATGCTGAGAAATCATTTGACAAAATTCAATGTCCCCTCATGGTAAAAGCCTTGGAAAGATCAGGATTTCAAGGCCCACACCTAAACATAGTAAAAGCAATATACAGCAAACCAATAGCCAACATCAAACTAAATGGAGAGAAACTTGAAGCAATTCCACTAAGATCAGGGACTAGACAAGGCTGCCCACTCTATCCCTACCTAATCAACATAGTACTGGAAGTCCTAGCCAGAGCAATTAGACAACAAAAGCAAGTCAAAGGGATACAAATAGGAAAGGAAGAAGTCAAAATATCACTATTTGCACATGATATGATAGTATACTTAAATGACCCTAATATTTCCACCAGAGAACACCTAAACCTGATTAAAAAAAAAAAAAACCTTCAGCAAAGTGGCTGGTTATAAAATCAACTCAAACAAATCAGTATCCTTCCTCTACTTGAAAGATTAACAGGCTGAAAAAGAAATTAGGGAAGTGACACCCTTCATAATAGTCACAAATAATATAAAATACCTTACTGTGAATATAACTAAGCAAGTAAAAGATCTATATGACAAGAACTTCAAGTCTCTGAAGAACGAAATCGAAGTAGATCTCAGAAGATGGGAAGATCTTTCATCCTCATGGATTGGCAGGATTAATATAGTAAAATGGCCACCATGCCAAAAGTAATCTACAGATTCAATGCAATCCCCATTAAAATCTCAACTCACTTCTTCAAATCATTAGAAAGAGAAATTCTCAAATTCATTTGGAATAACAAAAAACCCAGGATAGCTAAAACTATTCTCAACAATAAAAGAACTTCTGGAGGAATTACCATCCCTGACCTCAAGATGTACTACAGACCAATAGTGATAAAAACTGCATGGTATTGGTACAGAGACAGGCAGGAAGATCAATGGAATAGAACTGAAGACCCAGAAATGAACCCACACACCTATGGTCACTTGATCTTTGACAAAGAAGCTAAAACCATCCAGTGGAAAAAAGACAGCATTTTCAACAAATGGTGCTGGTTCAACTGGAGGTCAACATGTAGAAGAATGAAAATTGATCCATACTTATCTCCTTGTACAAAGCTCAACTCCAAGTGGATCAAGGAGCATCACATAAAACCAGATACACTGAAACTGATAGAAAAGAAGGTGGGGAAGAGCCTCGAATACTTGGGCACAGGGGAAAAGTTCCTGAACAGAACACCAATGGCTTATGCTCTAAGATCAAGAATTGACAATTGGGACCTCACAAAGTTGCAAAGTTTCTGTAAGGCAAAGGACACTGTCAACAGGACAAAAGGGCAACCAAGAGATTGGGAAAAGATCTTTACCAATCCTGCATCCAACAGAGGGCTAATATCCAATATATGCAAAGAACTCAAGAAATGAGACTCCAGACAACAAAATAACCCTATTTAAAAAATGGGATACAGAGCTAAACAGAGAATTCTCAACTGAGGAAATTCGAATGGCCAAGAAGCACCTGAAGAAATGTTCAGCATCCTTAGTCATCAGGGAAATGCAAATCAAAACAACCCTGAGTTTCCACCTCACACCAATCAGAATGGCTAAGATAAAAAAAACTCAGGTGATATAAGATGCTGGCAAGGATATGGAGAAAGAAGAACAGTCCTCCATTGTTGGTGGGATTGCAAGATGGTACAACCACTTTGGAAATCTGTCTGGCATTTCCTCAGAAAATTGAACACAGCATTATGTAAAGACCCAGATATACCACTCCTAGGCTATACCCAGAAGATACTCTAACATATATCAAGGACATATGCTCCAAAATGTTCATAGAAGCCTTATTTATAATTGCCAGAAACTGTAAAGAACCCATATGTCCTTCAACAGAGGAATGGATACAAAAAATGTGGAACATTTATACAATGGAGTATACTCAGCTATTAAAAACAATGAATTTGAGAAATTCTTAGGTAAATGGATGGAACTAGAAAATATCATCTTGAGTGAGGTAAGCCAATCACTAAAGAACACACATGGTATTCACATTGCAATCAATTACTTCCTTGCAAATTGACCCCTTACATATTCTCTGAGGATGGTTTATCTCAAAATGACAAATGAATTCTGTTGTTTTCTGAGCATTTAAATCAAATCTTCCAGATAATGAGACTAAGTTTGCCCCCTGGGAAAGGCACTCAATACTTTTCCTACATGGGCTTCAACTATCTAACAATGTCATGTCAAAGCAAGCACCAGAAAAAAAAATCTTGCAAGGCTTGTGCCTATTTAGCAGAATGTGGAGTTCAACAACCATGACAAATGAATTAAAGTGAAAATCTTATCATTTTTCCAATTTTGAGTTCCTTCTTCCATTTCCGTTCTCTCCATTGTTATGAATTTGAAGATATTATGCATCTGCTAATCTACAGCACTCTTTTAGTAATGAATGGCTCTTAAAATGGTCTTCCAAGTATATGCATGGCCTGGCTATGCAGGTTACACCAACCCCAGGAGAGAAATAATCATGGACTCCTAGGAAAAAAAATCATGAATATAGACCTTTCTTGGTTACATCAGAAAATATACTTATGGCAAGGAAATAAGAGGCATTCAAAATAGGTCAATCCACTGTGATCCTTGACACTAGTAAGGAAGGAGCTTAAGTGGACATATCCTCTTTACAATGCTAGGGAGGAACAGATTTCAAGTATACCACTACAAATAAAGTAACCCTTTCCGAAACTTTTGTTTTCTTCTTAATGACCACATTTTTGTAATATTTACATATTTTGCTATCTTTGTATAATTTCCATAAGCATTTGTCAAAGCAGACTATATATTACTTGAACTTATCATCAAGAATTATGACAATAATTCAACCTTCTGTTTTTTTTTCACATGAGGCCTGGTGGTCAGCTCTATGACTATAATATTTACTTGCATCCTTACTTGGATGCACATTATATTTCCCAGGAAATTTCTCAGTTGAAACAACTGTCACTTGTTACCTTACTTAGTGAGTTTCAGCAGTCAAAGTATCCTTCAGGAAAGGGTGAGTAATACTTAGAACTAACGTCTAAACTTTCCTATTTTACAGTTCTTCAGCCTCCACAATAGGCACTGTAATTCAAAGGATCTTAATAATAATTAGCGAAGAAGAGGCTATAAATATGAAAGTAGGGAAGAGCACTTGGAAGGAGTTGGAGGATGGGATGGGCAGAGGCAGAAAGGGAAGAATAAAAAGAATGGAATAGTGATGTAACTATGTTTTAATTAAAATATATAAAACAAAAAATTAAGAAAGAAAACAGATTATACAACTGTAAAAACAACAAATAACTTTAAAAAAATATCTTGAGATGCCATGAGAAAATTTTCCAACTGTCAAGAACTGTTGGTTTTTTACTGTAAATGGATAGACAGTCCCAATCTGAGAGAGCCTTTCCACTAAATAGTTTGTAGCCATTCTGTCTGTCATGGCCACCTTTGTGCCACCTTCCCATAAATCTGATCGTGAAAATGGCCTAATCTCTCCTAATAGTAGATAGTTACAGAAAGGCACATGGCCTCAATTTACTCAAATTGGGACAAAGTCTTTTGATGTCTCACAGTGTTGATATTACTACTGAAGAGCCATGTACTATTTCACCCCATTTATTGCAGAGTTATCATGACCTGTTCAATCATGCTGTTTATAAAATCTCAATTACATCCAGTTTCCAACTCATTTCTTATACTATGAATTAAGTTTCATTTACTTTTTTATGTACTCTGTTGTTGGCATGCTAAGGTTCTTGCTGCAACTTATCACCAAAGTCAGCTTGGGATCAACTGTTGCACAAGAACACAGAGAGGAGACCTTTGAAAAGCAACAGTAATATGCTTCTCACTCAGATGAATTATATAGCCTTAAGAAGGGGTAAAAGTGCTGGAAAAAAAACACAGACTTCATTTGACTCAAGCATTTCCTCCTAACCTGGAAAGATCCATACATTCTAGTTCTTTCACTTAATCCTGTTGAAACATATAAACAAATGAAATAACCAGACTTAGAAAAGAGAAAGAAACAACAAGCCAGGTGAAGAGACTATATGTATGTATTATTGGCATCTCTAAGTTCAGATAGCTGTTTGCAAGTATATGTGCCCACGAGCTATTAAAGACAGTACATCAGCTGTGTGGGGCCTATGTGTGATTGGGCTTTGTGTGTGTGTTTATGTGAATGCATTTGTGGATGGTGATAAATGAATGGCAATGAGTAAATAGTGTGTGTGTGCATTTAAGACAAAATGCATTAAAATTTCATTTTAAAGTTAAATTTTCTTAGAGCTGAGAAACAGTTTACTAAAGTGCTTGCACAGGGGGATGTGAGTTCAGATCCTCAAAATCCATTAAAAAAAGGCTGAGCATGCCACATTAAAAGTAGGCATACAGTGGATATTTATCCACTGCCCAATTGTTTGGGCATGATTGTAGCTCTTCCTCTGCACACATCTATAAAAGGACCAACATTTAAAAGTGATTTAAATCTAAACTCTGGAATACTTCATCCATCCATGTCCTCAATGAATGGAACAGACTTCTTGGAGGGCTTTCCTGGTTACTTGATCAACAATAATAACTATCACAACACTTTCTTCAAATGACCTGTTTGGACAAATATGTATGGTGCCAGAAATATTTAAAGAGACAGATAATTGCCGAGAGAGAACTAAGCTAATTTTTAAAGATATTGAAGAAGAGACAGGTACATCTGTGTGGCTAAGTGAAGTTTATGGATACAGGTAAAGGGTGCATGAAAAAAGTAAAACTGTCCAAAGAAATGCTAGTAAAAAATTCATGGGACAAGATATCCTTAGAAAATAAACGGGATCTGCTGTGGAAAATGTCAATTTGTTTCCTTTCACCCATTGAATCATCTTTCTCTTTTCCTTTTTCAGGAACTATACTTACCATGTCAGTGTCTGACACAGGGCCAAAACTCGTCACATAGATGTCTGTCTTCACTTCAGTCACTGCATCTGAGTGAAATAAAGTAGAAAAATGAACCAGTGTTTACTTATGTCAAAGAGTGCAATGCAGATGTGCTTTGAACTGTAATTAGCATGCTTTTTCTGAGAAGGGACATCTAACACTGTCATATATCTTTCCCCCCCCCAAAAAAATACCTATGTCTCACATATGCTATTCCTTTGCAGAGTACATGTTAGGTTCAAGTATAATTTCTACCATTTTATATAACACTGAAGATGACAGTAGAATTCCCAAACATCAAAACTTACAGGAAGCTGTTAAAATGTCAACTGATATCTCCACCTGCTGGGCTCTCACAATGCTTACCCTTACTCATGGTCAATTAAAATAATCCAAAATCTAACACTTTTCCACATCTACAACACAGGATAGTGGCATCCTTACTTCCCTCAAAATCAAATCAAGTAGGAGAAAAGTAAATGGTTCCAGTTATAATAAGAAAAAGTAACTTGCTGGAACAATTAATGTCTGATAATAGATCCTCTACTCCATGATGAGTATAGAAACAAAAACTCACTGGTGTCGTGCTGCCACAAGACTGAAAAGTATAGGATGATGAGCCCAAGGAGGACAACAGTGTAGCCATCAAAGTCTGTCTACAATGGACTTGGTTAACAAAAGAGAAACTTGTTGAGTCAAGAAACAGAGGTTTAGAACTAGCTGATGTAACATATATACTATATATCAGTTTTCTTTTATTGTGATATCTGATTCCTTTCCTGCCTTCTGGTGGACACATCCATGTTTTATTTTTTACTTTATTATTTATTTTTTTTATTTATTTTCTTTGGGTTTTTTGAGACAGAGTTTCCCTGTGCAGCCCTGGTTGTTCTGGAATTCGTTCTGTAGACCAGGCTAGTCTCAAACTTAGAGATACACTCGCCTCTTCCACCTGAGTGCTGGGATTAATGTGTCATTCACGTTTTATCCTTGCATCTTCAGTGTATAGATAGGGAACTATTGCTTGGAAGTTAGTCACTGAATATGTTTTTTCAGATTAATGGATAAATCTCACATATTTGTCATTAGAAATGATATTGCCTTTGCAACTATAGAAATATATCTTAGACTAGTAATTTATGAACAGCATGACTCATTATTCTGAGGGCTAGGAAGTCTAACATCAAAGTTCCAGTAGACTTACTTGATATCTGCTGAGAGTCCATTTTTCATGGGTGATACCCTCTGTATCTTCACATAATAGAAAGAATTAGAGAATGTGCTAAAATATGTTACAGAATTGTTTTTCCCATTGAAGGCTGCACTATTCCACTCAAAAACTCCCTATATACTGGTATTAGCCCCATTGTAAATTAGATGTCAGTACATAAATTTTGGAAACACACAGGCATTCAGAACACAACATGTGGGCAGAAAGTTATGTTATATATTTACTGCATTTCCCTTCTACCTAGATCAGTTCTGTTCATGTTATTGAAGGGCAATTAGACATTTCACAGCAGCTTGTCTCAAACACAGTATAAACTGATGTACCCTACTGTAGCTCATTCTAACCCATTTTAACCTGCTAAAAACCTCATAATTGCCTTAACTAATGTCCCACTCCAGCCCAACATAGCTGACACAAGCTGATACACAACACAGACTATATATATATATATATATATATATATATATATATATATATGACTTATACAAGATCTGACATGTGTATATAAGTGTGACACATTTTGAAGTCTATATTAGTATTTCTTTTCTGCCATTAGTAAGCATAAAATACCCTCTTGCATCTATATTATATTCACTCTATACACACAGCAATGAAGCATGGTCCAAATATTCTTTCCATCTTCATTTCTCACTTATAAATTGGTTTATCACTTGTCTAAGCCATCCCTAAGACTTACTATAGTATATGCCTTTTCCAGGGCACTGGTGTGTTCCATGTGCTCAAAGCTACTGTACTCACCTAAAATATTTCAATTTCCACAAGAGTTTATAAGCATTATTTAATAATAAAACACTACAAGCAATTTATCTAAAGACATGATTTACTCCCAAGCTTAATCAACAAAAACATGACTCTGAGAATAGAACTATGTTTTAAAGAGTTGGATTCTCATTCTGAACATAGTCTTCTCTTTAAGCTATTTCTGTACTTGGATCAGCAGAGACTATGCCTAAGAACCAATGATATAATTCATGAAAGTGTGTTTTGAGATATTCATTGGCTGGTGAAGCAAATATTTTTGCATGTAGGGTATGGCACAGTGATTTCTAATTTCCCTATGCATAACCACGTTAACCAAAATGAATTAATTAACAAAATAGAACACAATTACACTTAAATCCAACATTGAGCAGGCTATTTTCAAAAACAGAAAAAAATGTGTGCACTAATATAACTGTAAATTTTGAGTCATGGAGAATTCCAACAGAGGACTCATCTTATACACACACACACACACACACACACACACACACACAAAGAGATAATGAGGAAACTCTCCAAAGCTGACTTTATGATAGGCATGGATATTTAATATGAAGTGACCAAGAAAGTTCCCCAATCAGCATTTCCTACTTCTAATGTTCCCAAGGCCAATCAAATTCACAGAAAAAAAATTCACAGCAGAAAAGTGACATGACAGGAAGGTGCTCTAATTTGAAGGGACTTTGGAGTCATTATGGCACTGACAGAGTCTGAGCTGGATTGAAAGGCTTGGGATCTGTAACTGATAAGAGAAAAGAAAACAATATAGAGAATTCAAGAATGGAGAGTAATATGAACAAGAGTGGGAGAAAGTGAGAGAGTAAATAAAAGAGATGCTATGGCTATGTGTTTTCAACAGAGATGCCTCATGCAGTGGGCTGTGGAGCCAGGATATTTGTTTACATCATAGAAATGCAAATAAAGAGAGTGCATTGAGTTTATGGTATCATCCTTAGGCCTTTGGTTTTATACATTAAGCAGGGGTAAACAGAGATATTTTCTTTATTACACTACACAGGGTCCACATGCTCCAACAGCTTGTCTCATTTTCTGGCTAAGAAATCTAGAGCATTCTTGAAGCATAATACCTGAAAATACATCGAGCCTGCAGAAGGATAGCACAGTGACTAGCTGGATTGGAGTTTAGGTCCTAACAGAACTCCTGGGGGCATTTTTGTTATTGAACTCCTATGTACCTACTTTACTATTTAGAAAACGTGGAATGGTAGCAATTACTTCAGCATGGCTCTAAGGCTCTAAAAAGTTTATGGGTAGCTAGGTTAGGTAGATTCAGTGGTCACTACACAATCTTTTTGTTATAGTTTATACTATTTTGGGAGTTAGACCAAATGGACCATGCATCAGACCAAACTGGTCAGAAACACACAAAAGTCTGAAGTATGTGTCCCAATCCGAGAGAGAACAGTATTCACCTGGAACTCCAGCTCCTCTGTGTGAAGGAACAATGGTTGAGATTTACAATTTCATTTGAATGAACATAAAGTAAAGTTAACTGTATGAAAATTGTGGTCTTCTCAATAGATATAAATAGGAAATGTTCATTAATAAAAGACAAGAGAGGATTTTCACACGGCTTATAAACGCTTTTGTCTTATTTTCATTTGTTCTGGGAACTTAATTTCCTTCCACTATAATCCTGAAACAAAAGGTAGTTTATTATATTTTCCTTTTTCAAATTTGCTGTAGTATTATTTGAAATGATTCAATGGCCTGAAGTAACTCAAACATACATATATTATACAAAAACATATATATGTACATGTAATCATTAATGCTCATTGATGCTCTAATTGGTAAAGAACACATTAGACCAAATCTTGCACTATTTCCTTTTAGTACATATCTGAAAGAACAAAGATAAGCCAATTAGCAAGTGATTACTATGTTTATGAGTATGTTGTTCAAAATGACTTTTATTTTCTAGTTTAACTTGAAATACATGCCCAAGAAACCTTTCATTTTCTCCTTGAAAACCTTGAATTAGGGCTGGAACAGTTATTACAGGCTTTCCAATTTTCCCTGCTCCACCACCATGTGCATGCATGTTATTCTTGGTTCTGACCTTTAGGTACACAAGGTAAATAAGTTTCCTATTTCTTTAGAGAGTTAAAGATCTGCATAGATGCAAACTACATGAGCATTAGAGCCTGAAATGTGATTTTTTTTTACTTGTTCCACACTGTCCCCTTTTGAAGTGATCCTGAGTCCCTTTACTTGCTTTTGTCTGCTCAATTACTGATCCTCTGAAGTGTATTTCATGATCTCTGTTTCACAACTTCATTGAACAAGTGATGATGAAAGGGATGATATGACCAAAAGCGAACAACTCTTCCATAGTGCATTCTGGGCTTCTTCCTGCACTGCTATTCATTCTAGTAAAGTGATGAGAATTGGGGCATTGGCTGAGAGAACCACTGTCCAACTTTCCTGTTTAATTTCAGATTATTAGAAATTTGATGAAGGGCAATAAAGCATGTAAAAATGAGTCCCCATTATGACTGGCCAAGTCTGCTAGCCACATGGACTTATGTACCAGGCTTCAGTGACTCTGAGGCCAGGTCGTAGAAAAATGGAAACCAATATACTGTTCTCAAGCCAATACCCTTTACATTTCTCCTTGATCATTTATGGGGAGAGACAGATGTTGTAAGTACTCATTCTTGCCCCTACCCTAGTTAATTCATCTCAGATAAACTCTATGGAAAATTCAAAAAGGTAGCTAAGGAAAGCAGAGATTAGAAGAGTACAGCAGCAATGCTATGCTCAACTGTAAGCTCTGCTATTGATTCACATGACTCTGAACAGGCTATCAACAAGCATATCACACCATTGGCATTTTTCAGGTTTTGGGTCTATGTTTTCTTGTCTATGCTACTCCATCTAATGTCTTGTATCTTGAATGTTCAGAAAAACTCTAATAGCCAGCTGCCTACCTGTTGAAGATTGTAAATGAGAACGTGGCACACACAATACATATTTGTAACATAAAACCATAATGTATTTGCTGTACTT